CTAATTTAGTCCTACTTTCCATAAGGCTGGTGCCCATCTGGGCAAGTCAAGTGTAACAGTGTAATTAAAAGAAAAAAAAAAAAACAAAACAAAAAAAGGAGAGAAAAAAACCTCAAACAACTACCTTGCACATTCAAGGGGGGGTTGGCATTTCCCATCCAATCAGGAGCTGACAGAATAGACTCATCACCCTAACGAATGACACAATGACAGAGCTACTTCTAAAATAAGAAGTAAAGGTTCTCTCCCTGCCACATGTCCATGCTGGGCAGCATCTTCGTACCAACAGAGCCTAAAAGCTCAAAGAACCATTTAGAAGGCAAAAAGCTACCAGGCACAGCACAGGGGCAGAGATGTGACTGCTCCTAAGCGATCCTGATGATAAATTTTAAAGTCAAGAGGTTTATCTGTGCTATCGATGGAGGGACCCAAAGTTTGACTGGACTTCTTTCCCACACAAGCACCATTTAAATGCACAGATTTACTCCAGATGTCGTGCCAGCTCCTCCCTGCTTTTGCCACCCAGACATGGGATGATAAAGCAGCGTCCTTCAGTGCAGAGCTGCTCATCCCACAGAAGGCTGAGATGTAGGGAAGGTGGTTACTGGGTGGGAAAGGAACAAGGGGCCAGGGAGGGGAGTTTGCAGCAGCTGTGAGTGTGGGAGCTTTGCCCTTGAACAGCTCAGCGGGAAAAGGAAAAGCAGTCGCTTTCAGCCACCTAAAACTACAACCCCTCTCTGGAGACACCACAGGAGTAGGATGTAGAAAACTCTTTGAGGTAAACAGAAGACACAGTCACGCCAGCCAGGGGCTCTGAGTGCCTTGCTCTGCTTATTTGCCATCCTAAATACAAGGAAATTTTTTCTTGCAGTATCTGAAGCTCCAGACTGTGTCTTGCCTTACAGCATCAAACAAAAGCAAAGCACAAGATGTGGGAGCTTCAGATCCACTGATTGAATCAGAGAACTGATATCTGGGAGTTCAGGAATCTGAAAATGCAGGCAGGTTGTGGGCAGCATTCCAGCAGGAGAAAAGTATAAGATGCCATCCTGCTGGGAGTTAATCCCCATACTCAGCTGGCAGAGATCTGCAGTTCTCCCTACTGCTCTACAGACGATGGACTTGTCTTAGCAATATTTAACAATATCTGGACATCCCAGCCATATACTGGGATGACCAAGTATCGTGTCAGGAGGAGCAAAAACGTTCATCTGCAAACACTCCAGCATCAGCCAGCCTGGTACAACACACCAGCCCCACATCTGAACACCAGGCAGAGCCTAAGGTGGTTTTTTTAAGTTCCATTTCTTCAGGAAACCATTTCAAGTGACCGCAAGATTGGGATTGACATTTATAACGGAGTTATGAGGCTGATGCTGATGCCCAGTGTTTTGCCATGTCTGGGGTCTCTACAGAGGGTGGATGCCCTGCAAGGGACTGGAGAGAGTGCTGGAGATAACTGGGGGAAACTTACTGCAGGCAGAGCTGAATTTCTGTATCTACTGATCTCTTCGAGCTGGACTGTGAAAAGTTAATTTCAAGCTCTAATAAATCAACTATAAAGGAGGCTTTTGGCTATCTTAATAAGGCTTAGTATTTCACACTGGTTAATATAATGTATAATTAAAGCACTGCCTACGAGTGCCAGCACTGGTTACAATGCCAAATATTAATGAAAAGCTTGCTTTTCACATCGCCATGACTTTCAAAATGGAGCAAGCTGAAATCTGCTATGGCTTTGGTCAGAGTTAAAATTTTCTTTGCTAACTTCAAGGAATTCCTATTTCTGTTTGTCTCAAATTAGACTGGAAATAGTTAATAGCTAATCCATAAAGAATTCTCCCAAAGAAAAGATGACATTTTAAACCAGCACTTGGTATTACAGTCCTCCTCCTGAGGATGCGTGGCACTGATTCATTTGCAAATAATTGGGTTTGGCTCAATACACAAGTTCCCATCTGAATGCTAAGCGCTGTAGTTGTGCCACAGAAAGGCCTTGTGGGCTCCTTAGCTCACCCTTCAGCACAGAAACCAACACAGTGCAAAGCTGAATCACAACACAAGGATTCAAAAATTTTCCAGCCTTTTACAGGAAATCAGGAAGAACCCACTGGTGCTTTGCTTTGGTTGTCTCCAGGTCACAAGTTAAAGTGTGTATTTTGTCCTTGTCTCCCCACAACCACCACAAGCAAAAAGAAAGTCCAGGCCATCACAAAAAACTTCAGATCAAGGCTCCAAACATAATGGAAAACTCCCAACACACATAAGGACAGAAAGATGATTGCATATCAAGCAGTTAATTTTGCTGCTGTTCTTTCAGGTAGCAGGTGCGTTTTATAGTCAACAACAGCTGGTTGGATGAGAACTGGAGGCTGCTAATGAGTTACATAATCTACTTGTTGAGCTCCTAATACTCAGGAAACAATAACTTCTCTATCTGCTTTATTTGTTCCCCTTTTGTTTCCTGCTGTAACTTCCACTATTAAGAACTCACCACAACATATTAGAAAAGACAGCCAAAACCCAACCCCACTTTCCTCAAACAGTGTAAAACACTGCAAAATTCAGAAACAACTGCACGCATTATGCAGTGGTAGCTGCACTGCACGTGTTCACCACATGTGTGGTATTTTCTATTTACCTTTTGTTTATTAAACCCCAATCCCTGATCATCACTGTGTGTCCCTGAAACACATCCCATATGGACTGGTGTCCACAGGAAGGCACCGGAGTAAACTTTGTGAAAACATGTGACTCAACTGCTGGATCTGACAGCACCAGAGCTGGACTGTCTAAGGAGTGCACAGGAAACCAAAACCACCAGGAGAAAGGCCCAGATATGCTCATCCCTGAAAGATCATAAAGAGCTGGGACCATGGGCTGCTCTGCTGGGGTAACAGGTTTGAGACCTTATTAGCCAGTATGGAATATTTAAGGGTTGTTCTTGACGAGCAAGGCAAAATCTCTACCTGCATTAATTTTGTAGAGGTTTTTAGTGACTCCTGAATAACGTTATAAGTCTTCTCTTCATTCATCAGAAGTCTTTTCTCTGATGTTTTCTATTTATTATTCATAAATAAATAAATATAGTACAAGTCTCCCCCCAGGCAGCGTGGGATTTTTGAAAGTCTGTATTCTGCTTTAGCTTACTATAATCTACTATTCTAATTATATCAGTTAATTCACCTGGAACACCATGAAAACCCTGAAAGAAAGTTCACATCAACAAAAGATTTACCCCAGATGATGACCTGAAAATCATTGCTTTAAAGTGCTGCATTTTACTTTTATCTATAAATTTATCAAA